TTATTTGTATTTAATCATCGATTCTAAAAGGGCTATATATAATTATTTATTTCAAGTATTAATTAAATATAAATCTAACTCAATGGTAATGTTACGGATTGATCAAAAATTGAACCAAACAAATGCTTAATAGATAAGCTGAAAGGATATAATGAGTGTGCAGTCTAAACATTCTTCTATTTGGGATATAATGGTATAATTAAAATGTTCGTCTTAACAATAAGCAACCATCATAATCAGGGTTGGGATTTTATAACATTTGTATATTTTTTATGACATGCTTAAAAAATAGCAGAGTAAGCCAAAAATGTGTTTCGTGATACAGAACAATACTATATTATAAATTATTATTTCTTAATTAAAAAAAAAATACTTTCAGATATAAAGAGTGGTTTGAGAAAATTGTTGTAATGGACAAAAGAGACAAGACAACTTAACACCCAACAATTGAACCAGAAGTAAAACTTGGATAAATATTTTATCTATTCTGGTGGATGGACTGGGTCTTTTAAATAGGATATTCCAATGAAGAAGTAATTTACAGTGAACATTTTATTGATCTTTTTACAGATGAAAATACTCAAAAACTTCAAAACTGTACTGAATTTGACAAAAAAAAGATAAAAAAATGATTGAGGGGGTGAATATATTATTTTTATTATTCGTCGTCATTTTATCAAAATTATATATTTAAAAAGTTTTTGGTTTTTAAAATTTCGATTTGGAATAAAAAAAATAAAATACGCTTAAATACGCTTTAATGCGTTTAATTAAAAAAAGTTCGGTTCGGTTTAGTTAGTCCTCAAAATGCAAAAACGCAATGTTCGTAATATCAATAACTTCCTAGTCATATTTAAATATAAAGATAAACTTACGATTTAAAAATGTCTGGGTCTACTCTTGTCAGATTAATTACACATTCGTCGAAACAAAGTTGTTTGAATTTGTCATCGATATACTTTTTGGAATGATTTTGTTTTCTGAAATATAAAATATTTTTTATCATGAGATTAGAAAATCAATGTTCACATTAAATTTATATATTTTTAAATAATAATGTTTTATATAATATTATTAATAAATTTCACCTAATTAACAACCCATACTGTTTCAAAGCTATAAAAAATAAAATATGTTTCAGTATTGAAAATGAAATATCAATGATTGAAGTTTTAATTATAAATATGTAACTTGAATACCGTCATCAATATTAATAATTACATATTTACGATTTAAATTAAATTACATAAATAACTCTAAGCATTTGCAAATCATATAGAGCATGACTTACAAAATATTGTAAGATGGTTATGCAGTAGTCAATAGTAATCACGGACTGAGATAGAATTGACTGGAAATGAAAGCCTAATTACATTAGAAAATGTAGTCAACATGTGTATTTAAAAATTCCAAAACTCAGAATTTGAATATTATAATATGTATAATTTAATCATAAAAATAAGGTGAGCATGCTTAAAAACCCTGTACCTATAGTGTTAAAAAATAGTATTTAAAATATTAATTAGTACCTAATAAACACTATTTCCTATTGTCAATTAGTAAATAAATATTTATTTACTAATTGACAATTAACATTTATTGTATCAACTCATATACCTGACACAAACACTGGTGGCAAATTTTAGAGCTCCTGGCGGTGTTTTTATCCGATAGATTTAAATCAAAATAGCCACTGGATAACGCATACCATATTCTGGTTGGCACACAGGAAGATAATGCAAGATAATAATAATATATGCAATTCTTCCACATTTTGTAATCCTTATTGTGACATGTACTTACCTTGGCATGATGCTAAATGGCGAATAGAGGTAGCGTAAGCGAATTGGGTGGATTATTTCACAAACTTAAAGAAACGAAAGACGTGATTACGCGAGTTACACGCACGAAGATCCACGCAGACGTCTGAACTCCAAATGAATAATGATAAACATTACAGTCGCCACTATCAGATTTTCGTAACCGTTTATCATTGGCTGGAACTACGACAGTGTTGCCTACAACACAACTGCCGCGTTCATATCGTATATACGACGTTTCGATGGTTTTATTAGTATTTAGAAATATAAAATTGTAAAATATACACGTGTACATTTACAACATCAACGTAGCTCAATGTTTTTGTTAGGTACCCACCAAATTTCAATAAAATATAATGCGGTTTTTAGTCACCTATAATTATGTATACCCAGTGCTTGGAAGGAACTCGTTCAAAGGAATCCGTTCCTTTTATTTCGTTCCATTTTTAGGAACTTATCGGGAACGTAGTTCCTTTTTCATGTTTAGGAATTTTGTTCACTTTTTAGAGGAACATGAACGATTTTTTTCGTTTCTTTCTTCGTTCATTTATTTTTAAATAAAAGTAATTAAATCATTTTCAGAACTAAAATTAAAAACATGTATAGCTTCTTTTGAAATTTAGCTAATATGAAGAGTTATAAAAATATTCCTGTAGGTATACACTATACGATATTATTACAATAATGTTTACAAAATATCAATTCTGTATTTCTGTCACGGCGGCTTATCGGTGAGACATTGTTAGTGGTTGGAATAACCGTTTGACGTTACTGCCGATAATGGTATCCATACTTTTTAACTGAACTTTAACTTTTCAACTAGTTAATGCCCACCTTTGATAATAATTACACTATTTAATGAATAAATATTAAAAAAAAATACTTTAGGAATAACTACTTTTTCGATCAATTGTGATTCAACTAGGTAGTCAAAGTGTATAATATAATGTATTAATCGTATCAGACTCACAGGCAAATGACTCATTATTGTGTACACAAATCTTTTATTTCGGTTTTCATTTAAGATAAATGAGAAACATATTATAAATAAAGTTTGACATTTTTTTTATATGGATAACGGACGATTATCATTTTTTCCATTCAAAATATAAAAACTCTTGTTTTACTTTTCAAAATGTGTACTGATGAAATCATGAAATTGGTTATTCTTGATATAGGTACTGTCCTATAGATCTACAAATTATTCAAGAGAAATCTTCAAATGCATTTATGAACCAAAACTAGAATTTTTGAAAATGTATTTATTGTTTTATTCTAGTTCGCATTTGATAAAAACACTAATAATTGTGAAGTAATAATATTTTAACTGCATGCTTACACACTTAACTTAACTAAATATTATTAATTGTGAATACATAATAACTAAAAATTATCATAGTATTAGATACTTTAAGTTTATAATTGTAAAAGTATAAAAAATAATAAGTATGTCATTAATTAAAACCAAATGTAGGTATTGATTACAAAATAAATTCATCATATAACATAGATAACAATATATTAAGCTTATATAATACAATTATTATTATTATTATTATTATTATTATTATTATTATTATTTATCATCATAATAATTTACACTATTCAATGCCTAAAAGTATTTAAAAAATACTTTAGAAATAACTACTTTTTTCTATCAATTGTGATTCAACTAGGTAGTCACCATCTGTGTATATAATATATTAACCGTATCAGACTCGAGGGCTAATGACTGATTATTGTGTATACAAATCTTTTATTCCAATTTTCATATTATTAATTGTGTGATTATTATATAACTAACTAGTGCCATTGAGAGAGCGCTACTCGTTGGCGCATCTAAATGACCGAGCTCCAGGTTTTCATACCCAAATTTCTCGTGCTCTACCCTATAGTTGTAGCACCGAAGGTGGCGACGGCCAGATTTAGTGGTGAGAATGCGGGAGATCATGCGAGTTTTGGGCCCCACCCAGTAGCGATCTCTCATTGCCAAGAGTATAAAAGTAAAATGTATTATGAATACATAAGAACTAAAAATGATACTTTAAGTTGATAATTGTAATTTGTAAAAATATAAAAAATAATGAGTATATCGTACAAGTAATTAAAACTAAATGTATGTATTGATTATGATATAAATTCATAAAACATAGATAATATTATGTTAAAGTTATATAATACAGTTATTTAACATTAGGGTTCAGGAATTCTTGCATTTGCATGTTTCTTTTTGTAGTGGTCGTAGATTATTCTAGGTAAGTTATAAATTTGTTTTATAAAATGACAAAATGAAATACAAAGTTTGAAATTGCATATTTGTTTTTTTGTGTACGTGAAATGAATGGAAAAAATTATATTTGGATAACATTCAAAAATATTTCTTAAAATAAATTATATTTCAGTAGATAGCATAGGCGCATTTGAGATTTGTGGAGGCTGAAGCCTGAAGCCCTCCAATTATAATACTGAATAAGCTAGTTAGTTACGATAGTTTCAAAATGCCTAAAACATACAATAGTGTCCATATTAATCAATATATTATACTAGAATTTTTATTACATATGTAATAGTTCAGCACTGTATGTAATCATTAATTATCATGCTTAGACAATTTGGTAGTATATCTTAATTGGTAACAGACATGCACCAAGCAATATACACGCCTCTAAATAAAATATATGACACCAAATAAGCTGATCCTGTACAAATTATTTTTATAACTGTTTATGTAATTATTATTTAATTTTTTATTTCCAAAATTGTAATATGTTTTATGCATTTTTCAAAAGTAATATAAAAATTTAGCTACATGTTATAGGTATTTAAGCACATTTAAAAATTATATTATTATATATTATATTTTTATTATTTTTATTGCAACAAATTCCAAACCCATATTTATCATCATAGTTGTATATTGCCTTTATAAAGCTGTATTACATCAAATCATGATTTTATAATGATAAACTCAAAGTTGATTAATTTATTATAAGTTTTAATAGGCTTTTAACTATGAGCTAAAGTAAAATGTAAAATATGCAATTGAATAAAAGAGAATGAATATACTATTTAAAATATTTTTAATTGTATAATGTTATTCATGATAAATTATATATCATTAAGTTATTTTTCGACAGTATCATTGAGTGCAGTATCAGAATATGAATGGTTTTGATAAGCCTAATCATCCATAATTTCATCTTTATCATTTTCTCGAGTGCTTTCGTGACTCCTTCGACAATTTTCAAATTTTCTTACTTCAGCCTCCAGTGAAGTTTTCATTTGACTGGCTGAAAAAATGAAAGTTATTATTAAAAACTAAGAATAATATATTCAGGGTTTCAGCCAAGAATTAATTGCTATAGCTAAGGATTGAAAATTTTAAACAAGATCATACTTTTACCAAAATATCTAAAAAAAAATATATAATCACAGTATTTTTATTATATATATTTTAAGTTCAAATTTGGACAAAATTAGATATTTATACAAAGAATAATGATTTTAGTTATTTTGTTAAAATTTTAATATATTATCCGTAGATACTTGACACTTTTAAATTAGGTATATTATTAAATTTATAATATTTTATTATATTTTATACACACAATGACGAAAAAATTATTTATCCTGCTGTTTACTAAATTAATGTCTAATAGTAAAATAAATTAGTTGTTTAATGGCAATAATATGATGAATTATACATAGTTATACAGGCTGATAGACTTTCTTCGCTCATAATTGTTTTTTTGTAAAAAATGGTATTATATAGTTTTCAAATTTAACTCATTCAATACAATATTACAGTGACCCATTTGGACATCCACTGTGTAGCAGAGCGGTAGGCACCTACTTGAAAACCTTTTTAGATTCTGAGTGAAACGATGAATGTATTGATTTTACAATGATGTGTGTTTTTTTTTTTATTTTTTATTTTTATTTTTTTTGTGTCTGTGTACACGATAAGTAGTCGAAATAATGCTTCGATTTTCAACTTCAGTATCTTGTTCGATTGGAAAGTGAATATCGTTGGTGCATTGGGGAGAATTACTGTAGATACATGAAAATTTCACTGAATGTTTATATTAGTATTTCCTATACACCATACAATTTTGAAAATATTTTGACTTTTTTTGAGCCGTTTACGGACATTTTCAGTTTTCAATTTTTTTAATTTTTTTTTTTTCTATAAATATCATTAAGTTTTATCTGTTGGGCCAAAAAGTGTACAAAATTAATACAAGGCTCCTGATATATTGTTACAATAGTTAAAATTAAGTTAAAATAAAAAAAATTAGCAAATTATTTTGAGTTAAGAATTCGTAAAATTTTTTCTTTTTAAATCTAAGTTTTTAAAATGTAATACAAGATTCCTTATAAGACTATCTACCTTTATCAAAAAAAAAAAATGTCTATAAAAAAGTCAAATTAAATTTTTATGAGCGTTTGAAAAAAAAAATTGGATGCTCACTCGATTTCTCATGTAGCGATTTCCTTATTTTGTTGTAATTCAAAAACGAATAACTGTAGATACATGAAAATTTCACTGAATGTTTATATTAGCATTTCCTATACATCATACAATTATGAAAATATTTTGACTCTTTTTGAGCTGTTTACGGACATTTTCAGTTTTCAATTTTTTTAGTTTTTTTTTCTATAAATATCAATAAAGTTTTATCTGTTGGGCCAAAAAGTGTAAAAATTTAATTCAAGGCTCCTGATATATTGTTACAATTACAATTGAAAAATATTAAAAATACATAGGCACAATTTTTTTTTATAAGCATTTAGAGATCGAATTTCGACAAAACTTATCAAAATCTCGAAAATTATCAATCATTGTAATTAATAAATTATAAAATGTTCTGTATTTATAGCAAAGGATTACAAATTTAAAACAAGATTCCAAGTAAGTAGTTAATTCTCCTACCAAAAAATCTAAAAAATATACAATCACAGTTTATTTTTATAGTCATTTTATGTTCAAATTTGGACGAAATTACATATTAAAAAACCTAGTTATTTTGTTGTGATTATATAATATTATTCGTGGGTACCTACTTGAAACTTCTAAAGTGTACTATTATATATCTATGATAGTATCAGGGTTTGTTATTGATGTTGATGTATAACGTGTTATAAGTACCTAATGGATATTGTGAAAATTGTGATATGATTAATTTTGAATTTATTATAGGTCAATTTTTTTTTTAATATCTTCGATATGTATATAATTTGTCTTAAACCTAGACTGACATACCGTCTTCGCCCAGAATCGTTTTTCTTATACAATGATATTTTATCATTGAATTCAAATTTAAATAGCATCCATTATACAGTGACCCACTTGTAACCTACTGTACAGCAGTGCGACATCCACTTACTCACCTTTTTTATTATTAATGGCAATGGGTATTTTTTTTATTATTATAGCACTACAACTTAATTGCATATAAAATAATAAACTTAATTTGCCACTGATTAAGATCAGTTTATTCGGTTTCATATTTTTATTTTGAGGAGTGTATATGCATTAAGAAATATTTACATTTGGTCTATTAAAATATACTACCAAAATGTCTAGGCATGATAAATGATTACATACAGTGTTAAACTATAACAGATGTAATCTTAACCCTTACAGTAACACAATATTGTGATAGCGATTTTTAGTAAATAGCTTTTTCCTAACGGAATTTGCAATTAGAACAATTCTGCAGTAAAACAATTTTTAGTTTTTATCGATTATCAACTGAATTATTATATATCTGTTGCTTATTGGTAATAGACAAATTAAAATATTTAAATGAACAAATTATCTTATTAAATGTTATAAGTAAGAATTTTTTTTTTTAGATATAAGTTATTTGTAAACATGCTATTCTAAATTTGTTAATGAAAATGTATACTAGGGAATGCAAATGTTATTATTATGTATTATAATTGAATGAATAAACAATTTCGTGAATTACCCAGGTCATTTAAATTGTATATATGGTGTATAACTTTAATATATGACATGCAATTCATAAGCACTAAAATTAATTAGATAAATTTAATTACATTGCGGCAAGGGTTCATCTTCCTTTTCTAATCTTCTAGACTCCGCTAACATTTGTGCAGTTGTTGTTTTAAGATCCTTGGGCTTATTTTCTCCAGAACATACAGGCTATACATCAAATATTAAAATGTAATTAATATTTATCTAAATATAAATAATATTGCATTGATCGCTCACACTGTACAAAAAACAGGTATATTGTTAAAATTGTGTTAGAAATTATTGGGTTAAAACCACAACACTTTTTGCCAGTTAACTAAAATATGTGATGGAAAAGGAATTGTAACTAAACTTAGTAAATAAAATAATATACTAGCAACTTACTAATGAATGAGAGTGAAAAACTTATACAAAAAACACAATTAACAAAGTAGGTACCTACTTAGAATAAACTATTACCGATTCGTATCTAAGCCTGTATTTTGTTTTTACAAAATTTGGACTATCATGTGGAATTTGCAGTTGACTGGCATGTCTTGGTGGAGGTAATGGCATTTTATTTACTTCTGTGGCTGCTGTCGTTAATACCTAAAAATTAAAACAGTTGGTCATAAACTCTTAAGTCTTAGGTTTAGTTGTAATTAAAATTAACAAATGTATAACATTGAATTAAGTGAATACATTTATTTTTGTGAACAATGGTCCATTCTTTTGTCACCATTCAACATCTTTTGTTGCAAGAGGTTTAAATATAACAAATCTATGTAATGAAATTAAAAAAATGTATATTGGCATTAGGAGGGGAAATTGATTTTAGTCAAAATTATCTTACTTTGCGCGGAGGAGGTCCAGGAAACACTGCCCCTTGGGCCATTTGTATTGCAAGTTTCACATCATCGGCATCAACACTCTTCTTTTTCGCCGAGTTTGACAATGCTTTAGCGTCTTCCAATAATTGAGTAGTGTATCCTAATGAAGAAAATAAAAACTATTCATAACAGTGAAAAACCATTAACATTTGTTTCATTGTATTAAATATTACTGAAGTTAAACTCCAAAAAATGATTTAAAACTTGTTGATCATATTCAACAATTCCTAAATCTTCCATCATCGACACGATGATTTGACTGTCTTTGGGCGTATTTTTTTTTCCTCCTGTAGACTCCATTTTAGCAAAACGAATTGTAATGATTTGAATTATTAATAAGATTATAACAACAAAAAGTTATATCAAAGGTTAACAAACAATACAATTATTAAACTTTTCACTTTTTTAAATACGCACTGATAACAGAAAATGTGGTCTAAACAGTAAGTAGTAAACAAGACGTATGTCTCGTAAGTATACAATTGCTAAAATCAATAATCACATAATATATTATTATAAAGGGCGTTTCCACATCTTGGGTCACTGTTACTTGCTCCACAGGCCACAAACACCAACTGATAAGTGATAACACGGATTCTCTTACGGATTGTATAATAATTTACCATAATATTATAATAAATAATAATGACATTGAATTACGACACTGTATTATAAAACCAACAATACAGGTCCGTGTACGTCATATTATACGTCATTATATTACCTAATTTTCAGAATTGTATTTACTTATTATCATTAATGTTGATTGATTCTCGCCGAGGTCTTTTGTCGACAATACCTAATCGTAGATAGGTAATAAAGAATGTATAGGCCACGGCAAGATGATGTAGAGAAGGTAATCTTCTAATGTTATATTAATATTTAATATTAGCAACTAAGGCCGGAGCCATACACGGAGTACTCCGCAGCGTCTTACGTCGAATTAAAAATGCATTGGTTTATATCGGAGCAGCAATACACGACGGGCGTTTCACCACTTGTTGAAGGCTTGCATTTTCTGCCGTGTCGTGTCGCGTACCTATGCTCCGATATTGTAGAATAGATTGTAGGTATAATAGTTTACCATAATATAATAATAAATAATAACGACATTGAATTACACTGTATTATGAAACCAACAATACAGGTCCGTGTACGTCATATTATACGTCATTATATTACCTAATTTTCAGAATTGTATTTACTTATTATCATTAACGTCGATTGATTCTCGCCGAGGTCTTTTGTCGACAATACCTAATCGTAGATAGGTAATAAAGAATGGATAGGCCACGGCAAGATGATGTAGAAGAGGTAATCTTCTAATGTTATATTAATATTTAATATTAGCAACTAAGGCCGGGGCCATACACGGAGTACTCCGCAGCGTCTTACGTCGAATTAAAAATGCATTGGTTTATATCGGAGCAGCAATACACGACGGGCGTTATACCACTTGTTGAAGGCTTGGGTTCTCTGCCGCGTCGTGTTGCGTCGTGTATGCTCCGATATAAACCAATGCATTTTTAATTCGACGGGCACCACAAAAAAAGATATATTACCTAGTTCGTATTGGGTATATTATTATAATATCTTAGCCCGTGTGATAGGCCATTAGTTCCTGTCATACGGTCACAAATAGTAATATTAAGAGGACCCTAACCGTAGGTAGGTACATTTGTTGTCTCCGTCTTGCACACGCACACCAAATTATGGTCGTTCGCTAGTTTCAATAGTGTGCTGTTAGTTTTGATACTAGAGGGAACTGACCTATTATAAAACTTTTAGGTAAGAACATTATCTGTGATTGAGCTTTGCCAATTTTTCAAAACTTTCAGTTTCGAGCAAGATATTTGTAGGTACGTGAAATGTCAAAAATTAAAAACGCTCGTATCTTGCTTGAAAATTAAAATATCGAATAAAATCCAACTCTTAAGCACAGATAATGTAATTATCTAAAAAATTGAGAATAGGTCAAATCACTCTAATATCAAAACTAACAGCACACTATTGAAACTAGTGAACAAAAATTTGCCATGTCGTACGTGTGTAAGACGGAGACAACAAATGCATGCGTAGCGTTCTCTTTAAATTTAAACGATCACCTTTGTGAGACGGAAGATAATATCTGATTTTATTGAACCACGAACTCTTCGATATTATAGAATGGATAGGCCATTCACGATTATCCTGCGAGAACGAATATGAAATTATAGACCGTAGACGTCTTATCACAAATAAATTGATGTATATATATATATATTATATTAAATTCATATTATGATAAGACCTCTGCTTGAACGAGAGACAATGAAAAAAACAGTCTTTCTCTCTTCCCTATTCCGTCACTTTTGTCTCTTTATACCTACCTAGTTATTATATCATAGGCCAGTGGCTTTCAAACTGGGTGCCACGACCCACTGGTGTGCCGCGAGCTTTCATTAAGTGTCCCGTGGTCTTAGCAACAGTATTTGGAAGTTTGGAACAACTTTGTACAAAAAAATTATTAAATTTTTAATTTGATAAATTTTGTCAAAATTCGATCTTTAAATGTTTATAAAAAAAAATTGTGCATATGTATTTTTAATATTTTTCCGGTAGATATTTTTTTATTGATAAAGGTAAACTTATGAGTTCTCTTGTATTTCATTTTCAAATCTTAGATTTAAAAAGAAAAATTTTTATATTTACTTACCTATTTTTTTTTCCGACATATTTTTTATAATTATCTGGCGTACCTAGTTGAATATATTTCAAACAGAGAAATACGATTCTAAAGACGAAATACATTTTCATTTCTTTTGAATAATCATTAATAATCGTATGATAATTTTTTTGGGTCGACCCCTCGTGTACAGATAATGTTAAGTAAAATATATAATTGGCCTATAATCTAAATTATATTAGCTGTATAGACTGAATATTAATATTTATTTTAATGGTGTTGTACAGACGTACAGTGATGAGGTCCATACGTTATCTTTGTATAGATTGTAATAGAGAGACGAAATAAAATATTATTTATTACTTATTCTATGATTTGTTTATGGATGTACTACATTTTAATTTCCTATTTTTTTTATATTTTTACATAATTTTGATAGTTTTGAAAATTTCAAATGCAAATAAATAATAAAAAAGCTTGAAAATTTAATAGAAGACTCCTAATTTATTATTTCAAAAACAGATAAAAAATATTAAAAATCCTTCGTCATAGTTTTTTTTATAAACATTTAAATTTCAAATCTTGACAAAATACGGAAAAATCACGACAGTTAGCAAATTAATTTGAGTTAAGAATTAAAAAAACTTCAACAAATATTTCGTTTATTATACTGATTACCGAATGTTGGGTTCCAGGAATGCTATTATAATCCGAAAAAAAATATCCAGAGACGAAGGTGGATTAGTCTATTACATAGGTAGGTAGGTATATAACGATAAATACTAAAATATATAACATGAGAAGTCGAAGGAACATCGGTGTACCTACCTATAATATATAATAATATATTATACTTAAAAGAGGACGGGTTTTAATGATTTTCGAACAGAAATATTTTAAAAATAATGGTTTTATTCCGTCTATAACAACATAATATATTATCTGCCCCTGTCATCTCGAGTATCCCGACTGTGTGTCGCCATTTAAGTACCTTTGACGCGCCTATACATTCATGATAATTTAGTCACGGAATGTTGTAAGAAAATAATACACGAAAAACCCATTTAATATTATTATTTATAATATATATTATTATTATACTTGTTCAGGGAATGCTGAGTGAATTTAGGCGTATATAACAGTGAACAGACATCTGCTATCGTATTTACATAACATGTAAAAGCAAAAATAAATAATAATTATAAAAAACATTCATCTGGGTATGGTATATTAATTTAAATTTCCTCGAGTAGAAGAAAAAATATAAATTTGAAAGTATCATAATATTATGGTTATTTGATTGTATTATCGGTCCGCCACTGCACCGTAGTGTATGACATTTATATTATCACTCCATCATCGGATAAACGTCCGTTGTAGTACCTAGGTACCGTGATATTTATTATTGTCTATATTATATCGTGACAAATCTTTTAAAATATAAAAGTAAATAATAATAATAAGAATATCTTTTAAAATGATAGCAGCGTAGGACGTAGTCGACAATAGACGTTGAATTTAATTATAAGTAAATATAAAACTTATTTGAAACTAAAAAAAAATGTAATTTAAAAAACTTTTTATTTGTACGACGTGTTCAAATAAAAGGCCTTTAACTTCGAATAACCTTTAACGCGTATACATGAAAATCGATGTCGACTTTTTACAAGTTGTTTATAACGATGTCATAAGGGCGTGTACCAATTGGCATTGATTTTAGAATATTTTAGAATATATTGTTCTAATGACTTTAATGACGTAACGTCATTATACTTAACACTACCTTCTCTAATATAACGATAATGTAATTATTTACAATAATTACCTATACAGTTATATAAAATTAAAAATGAATAATTATGAATAAGCAATAAACAGTGGTTAACATTAACATTTCTTTTTGAATAATAATATATTACATACTATAGGTAATACATATTAATAATTAATATAAATGTGTGACTGATTAAATTAACATATTAAACTATAATAAAGGGGTTGTAGATAAAATGATACACCGCGATAAATGTTCAATGGGAAAAATAATTAAATGTGCATGGTACACCTCTGTTGATAACTAATACAAATAAAAATATAAAATTGTAGTTGACAAATATTCCTATACCACCTGACATCTGTATATTATTCTAAAATTAATCTATTGATAATAATGGCTGGTTGAACATATTTGTGACAAAAACACATCAAATATTGTAATAATAGTGACCGTTATAATATTGTATTATATAATATAACTTAGCTGTTACTAATTTATAATAAATCGGTACAACTGGCTCTCAGTGATTCATAAATGAAAATAGTTGGCCAAAATCCTAATTTTCACAGAATTCTTGTAAAATGATCTGTTGCTTACATAATAATTTGTATTCATATAGGTACCGACTGCACGTAACCAGTTTTTTTCTCAAAAACATTTTTTACATTAAAAACTTCGAAGTCTCGTAAAAAGATCCGATTTTGATAACTTTTTTAGAAAGAGATACCCACTTCTTACACGTAATAGTGCGACATAGACATGTAATTAAAATTATTTAGAAATTTACTGTAAAACCCTCATTACACATAACTTACACTTTTATTTTATGTGTAAGGAAAAACTTTAGGGAGAGCTTTG